CTTTCTAATCCACTGAGAACATTTATGGGGTGAAAGAAGAAATTTACACAAATCAGCCCAAATAAAGCAAGTTTCAGAATGCAATTCTTTAACAGCCTTCTTTTAAAATTTAGTCTACCTCATTATACTGGCATTATCTAGAAGATTAAAGTATGAAATACAACTTAGAGATGATAAAGTGCTGAGCCAAGAGAACAGGACCATAACACTAGGAGAGTCAAAGCAAGACTCAAGGCAAAAGCATGCATTATCACACACAGAGCACACATTTAGCTAAAGGCCGCAAAAGAGCAACAAGATGTTCCAATAATAAATTGTCACCTCTGATCGATGTTTCTAGAAACACAGAGGCTAAAAGTCTGTGCTAGCACTCTTGGAATGCAACAGCCTGGAAAATCCTTAGAGTCTAATGTGATCATTTTGTCAATTTGACAACCAATTTTGGCCTCTGCCTCTAAGACAGCTACTCAGTGACAACAACGAACGCTTGTTTCTTCTCTAATAAAAATCAAAGCACCTAAGATCCAGGGAGAGTTACTCATGTGACATCTTAAACTGCATCAGCACTAGACTCTAACAGTCTAGAAAGTAATGAAAGCTGTTACAGAGTTAGGATTCTCCCTTAAATTCTCCTTAAAAACAAACAAACAATTTTTTAGAACTTTAGCACGATTAGAATATAATTACCGTATCTTTTTTCTAGAATTACCTTTAGTCAGTAACTCAGGAACTGAGTGATTTTTTTCATCATCTTCCACTCAAAACCCGCCTTGAAAAAAAAAAAACAGCTCTATTCTTTAGAAACAACAACAACAACAAATTACAATCCTTTAGTCAAAACAAGGAGTTAACACAACTAAAAGCACGAACACAGTTAAGGTTATGACAAAGGAGCACATTTGCGTATCTTATGTACTCGATGATTCAATCAAATCTGGTTACAAGTTAAAACACAGTTTTTCTAACTATCAGCTGTATTCAAGCTAAACCTTGGCACTTGGTAGTCAAACTTTCATTGGTAACCCCATTCTGGACTTTCCTGTCTCTACAATAAAGTGTGCAGACTTCACATACTTGATGTGTGACTAGTCCTGTTTTTGCTATCTACAGTAGAGGACAGTGGGCAGTATTTTATTTTCATTCCTTATAAATTTCAGCACAAAATATATAAATAGTGAATCAGTGCTATGTGGGCAATAAAAATAAATGTGAACTTTACTAATACCTGGAAAGAATAGTAAAAAGGAAAGAACACAAAAAATGATATAAATTCAAACCAAGTCAAGGAATCCTATCAACACGTGTGTGTCTACCCATGGTTTGGAAACAAATGAAGCAAGACAAAAAGCTGGTTGTCAATGAAAAGGATTTTTCTTTTTCTGTGTAGCTGTTTAAGTGTGTAAAAAATTTTATTTTATTTTTTTAAAAAAGGCCCAAACTACAGAATTCCGTTAAGTACACAAAGTATCTGAAAGTTCTGAACAAGAGCCAAGGGAATATCTTTAGAACTTCTTGTTGATACTATGTTTTTATGAAGAATCTAAAGTATTGAAATTCATTTGAAAATAAAATAGAAGGGGGAAATGTGCTTTTAGAGAGTAGACAGTCCTTCTGTATACCAATAATTTCTTAGGAACTCTGAATGCTTAACTAGCACACAAAAGGCCAGTAATATCCCTAAATGACTGCAGGCTAATAAGGAACTTCTGGCTGGAAGAAGCAGGCTAGGAAGGCTTATCCCTGAGAGAATGAAAACCCCATTTTCTCTGGCAGCTCCATTTAGATTCTTTTTTGGCACAAAAGTTGGAAATTCTTGAAACGGTGGCTATCTCAGTATTTTGTTACACTTTGCTCCAGTAGGAGAAAAAAGTTTTCCTTCAATTTACATAGCTTTATGAAATACAGAACTATTTTGATAGCTTTGTCAGCATTTCTAAATTCTAACCAAATGTCCTCTAATATAATAAAAACTTTCTGGACCCCAGCACTCCCCATAGAAGTGCTCTTAGCATTCCAATCACCTGAGTTAGCAAGTAAGTACTAAAAAGCAAGACTTACTTTCCATTACTCCTCCCAAGACCTGGCTGTACAGGCTAGAGTTATTTGTGCAACATCAGTGAAAAAATTAACCTTGTGGACGGAGAGCTTTGGCTGACCCCCAGCACTGCTCCACTCCACGTCCAGCTCTGGGATGGGGTGGGGCATTTGGTCAGTTCATCCTATAACTTCTAGTGGAACCAGGGAGAAGAGGAGGCCACCTTTCCCATTGTGACTTCTACTGTAAGGATAGTAAGCCTGAAGTTGTAAAGGCTTACCAAGTGGAGAGAGCCTGCCTGAGAGTGAAGCCAAAAAAAGGGAAGCATGGTTGAGAAATGGAGAAAAACTGAGTCCGAGAGACTTGATCCAGCTGAGTCTGAAGCTAGCACCACCTTATAGCTTTCTTGGTTCCATGAGACAATGGATGTGCAACTCCACCCTCACCCTGCAATTTGTTTTCTTTTAATCATTTTGAATTGATTTTGGAAAAAGTCCCATATCAGTTATTTTTAGCTGCAAGTAAAAGAACACCTGACTACAAGTGGCTTAAACATAGATGTTTATTATCTCATAAAACAGGCAGCTCTGAGATAGGTAGTTCCAGGCTATCAATCCAACAAAGCAATGGTGCAGCAAGAATCCGGGTTTCCCATCTGTGCCCTTGGCAAGCCTTAGCATCCTGGCTTTTGTCTTTGAGCCACAGTGACTCCAAGATGGCTATCAGTGCTCCAAGCATCATATCCCCATACAACAGCATCAAGAGAAGGGGCAATTTCTCTTTCTATCAGAGGGGAAAACACTTCCCAAAACTCACCACCCCAGCATATTTCCTCTTAGTCTCACTGGCCAGAACTAGGTTTCACACTGCCTTGCTGCCTCCACTTCTCTCAAATCATCACTGGTAAAAGCGAGTGCAATTATCATGATAGTGAAGACTAGTCTTGACTTGGAGGGGCCCACCTTCCTTAAGTGCACTATGGCAAGACACTGGATCAAAACTAGGATTCTGTTTTCAAGGAGGAAAGGGAAAACGGCTCTTGGGGAGGCGCCCAACAATGCCTGCTGTAGGTCCTAACAAGCACTGGTAATTATTGACCTGCAGTAACTCAAAACATTCGAGACAGAGAGGAACTTGATATTCCCAACCAAATGTGAGAATCATCATTTTAATTTCCACGTGTGCAATACCTAAATATACACCAACTATAGTTCTTATTCTTTTAAAAAATTTTTCTTATTTTTTATTGAAGTGTAGTCAATTTACAATGTTAGTTTCAGGTGTATAGCAAAGCAATTCAGTCATACATATACATATATGTTTTTTTTTTTCAGATTCTTTTCCATTACAGCTCATCACAGGAAACTGAATATAGTTCCCTGTGCTTATAGTTTTTATTCTTAAGAAACTGTGTCAGCTGACCACAAAACTATGACTTCCTTGGAGTGGTTTTTTAAGTCTTTACTGAATGCCCCAGAATAGCAGGTGTCAGCTATACAGGTTATTTGCAACATGCCTAATATCAGGAAAGAAATGTTAATGAATGATCCTCCTATTCTTAGAGCCCTAAAGCTATCCTGTTAAGCTAAGTTCGTTAGAATCTGCCAGGATGTGCAGCTGAAAAGCCCACTCAATGGAGAACAGGAATTCTTTGAATAAAACTGGTTTCCAGCTCTTCACTGAAGATCAGTACTATCCAGTGGTGCCTCTTCCTTAAACTATGGCATCATCTAGGGGTTCTGGGGCTTAAATGAGATGGCAGTGTGAAAGCTCATGGGCCGGACCCTGGCACTCAGCAGTACAGTGAAGTCCCGGGAAGATACAGGAGGGGTTGAACCCAATTAACAGGTGTTGACGAGGGAAGGAGAACAAGCAGAGCTAACCTGAACCACTGTTGTATTGTGGAAGAATTATTAAATATACTAAACCAGATCTCCAAGGCAGAGAAAATTAACTTATAGAGCATCAGTGGTGATAAAAAAAATTCAATTTTATCAGTATGCAAGTGGAAACTAGCAACTACAATATTCTAAGCTGAGGAAAGCTTAGCTGACCGTAATAAAACCTTATTCACCATGCCTTAAGCACCCCTACCCACATTTCAGTCTTCATTGTAATACTTACTTAAAAGTAAAGTCCCTGCTTTTTCCTTCATTAACCACTTCAATGAACTTGCATGTGAGCTCACCTGTTATTACACTGATTCACATAATCTAAATAGAGGCTAATTATCTTAATAGTTACTTGCCACAGGAAACAAAAGAGAAATGTAAGTGAAGTAGAATGGAATGCTCTCTGAAGACTTTATAGTTGACTCTGACATTAAAGTGAGCCATTTCTCTGTCCTAAACTGCAAAGTGAGAGTCTCTTCCGGCTGTAAAATTCAGGGATTCTACGAATTAAGTGTCAATTACTTGCCTTAGTTGAGTGTCAGCACAGCTTAGTAGACCTTAGAATGAACAATGTGAATGGTCATTTCCAAAGCCAACCTAAACCATTGTTATATTGGGAAAGAACTTCTAAATATACTAAACCAGATCTACAGGGCAAAAAAAAAATTAACTTATAAAGCATATATGACTTACTATGTAAAATTACCTTATAAAGCAGTGATAAGGGAAAATCAAGTATCAGCAGTAGGCAAGTGGAAACTCGTAAAAGTAACTACAATATAACAAACCGATGAAAGCCTTGGATGTACTCTGAAGGTAGCTCTAGAAGTAGAAAGGGCTTTCAGGCTGGATAGAAGGGCTTCCATGGGAACTTTAGGAGGTCATCACCCCACTCGGAGCTCCCATGATTTCATCTGTAAAATGGGATCATAACCCCCTCACGGCAGCTTGCAGTGAAGACGAAATGAGCTCAGGTATGTACCACAATCTCTTGTGCTTCCTGGTCCTTTGGAGGCGCTCAAAAAATGGTATTGTTACTGCTTTTTATTATAGGATCACCAATGAGCACTTACCTAAAGAAACAACAGCAACACTCTCTGGCAAAAAATGTAATCTGTATCGGATCAGTAAATGCACCAATATGATGCAGATAGCTGTGGGGAAAAAAAGACATTGTTAAAACAGCCAACTTTGAATGACAAAAACCAAGTTCAAGGCAACGGTTACTGCTGGGAGGTTGCCAAGGAAATGGACAACAGGCAATGATATAGTAACCTCAGCTGTATTTTTCAATTTCCTATTTCTTAACCTGGATGCATGGGGTTTATTTCATTTTCTCCATACTTCTTGACAAGCCTGAACTATTTTGTCTTCTGGCTACTGAAAGAGCAACAGACATCTACCCTTTTGGTAAGCTGTTAAACCTTATACAACCATTTAAAATTATTCAAATTTCCCTGATTCTGAGCAATGATTCTTAACTTTTTTGAAGTAATCATCAACTGGAAAACTCTAAATGGTGAGGAAGAAGTAAATGACATTAATCACTTTGGTGCAAATATAATTGCAAGAATATATGTTGGCATGAAGTATTTTGCCACCATGTTATTCTCTTTTAACACAGAAGGGAGTGAGGGTGGTTTACAAAAAGGACAACGTTAATGCTTTGGTTTGGTGATAAGAACATTCAAGACCTAAAGATGGTGTGCCTGCCCCCCAGCTGGGTACTGGGGCTCCCACTGGTTGAGGGCTCCCCATAAGCCGGGCACTGCACTGAGTACTTTCCAAACACTATCTCATTTGACCCTCAACACCCCCTCTCAATCAGCTGTTATCACCACTGTCTCCTTTGATTAAAGATGAGAAAACTGAGGCTTAGAGAGTCATGTCACTAGCAGGCACTGCAGGGTTGAGTTTGATTCCAATCCTGAGCACCCACCACCTCCCTCCTGGCGGCCCTCATTCCTCAACCACCAAAATAAGAATAACGTCTGACTTTCCTCACAGAGGTGCTGACGTCAAAGAAAAGAAAGGAGACAAAAGGATGTAAAATGATGTGAAAGAAGTAAGTATTTCTGGACTTGAAAAAATCATACTTCCACAAAAGTAATTCCTAAATTTAATTTCAAGGCCCAAATGTTAGTGTGCTTGTCTTTTTCTTTTATTAGGCACCTAGGTGGTCTACCATCTCATCAGTCAAAGTATTATCTCGATAGGACTAAAAATAAATGCGTTCTTTTTTTTTTTTTTTTTGGTAAAAGGAAATGTTTAAACAATCTGCATGGCTGTTAAGTGGCCACCCTCAGAGCCCACACGGACAAATTAGATTATCTTTAGTCCCACCAAAAAGCACCAGGTGGCCAGAGAAAGGAAACAGCTGTAAATATAGAAACTTTGTCCTCCTTTCATTCTGTGCTTTAAACTATCAATCTGTGCTGTTATTTTATTATAAATATTTAGCCTAGTTGGAAAAATCCTACATTCAATACTAAGAGCAAGAAAAAAGTTTCAATGCATAAGCACAACATGTGACCGATGAGCATGCTACCGTCTAAAAAGGCAGGCATATGAGCACATGAGTAGACTGAAAATAGATCTAGGGAGCTGAATCAGTTTCTGGTCTTTCCCTGCACCAAGTTGGATGAAAAAACTAAAAAGTTTGTTCTCATAAACCAATCAACTATTTGTAGCTTTAAGAGCAAAACAGAGAGGAAGAAAAAAATCAACTGACCACACACAAAAAAAGAGCAAAAGAGGAAACTATCAACAGAGAAAGCTACATATAAGGATAATCAATGCGAGGGAATGGCCTTTGACTATAAAAAGATCTGCAAAGACAACCCACAGAATGGGAGAAAATATTTGTAAATCATATGTCTGATGAGGGTCTAGTGTCCAGAATACATAAAGAACTCTTACAACTCAACAACAAAAAGAGAACACAATTTTTAAATGGGCAAAAGACTAAACAGACATTTCTTAAAAGAAGACATGCAAATGGCCAGTGAGCACATGAAAAGATGCTCATTCTCATTAATTAGAAAAATAGAAAGGAAAACTGCGAGATGCAACTTCACACCCCCTAGGATGGCCATAATTAAAGAACAAAACAAAACAGAAAATAACAACTGTTGGCAAGGACGCACAGAAACTGGAACCCTTGTGCACTGCTAGTGGGAAAGTAAAATGGTGCAGACTCTGGAAGTTTGGCAGTTCCTAAGTTACACATAGATTAACCACTTAACCTAGCAGTTCCACTCCTAAGTGCGTATCCAAGAGAAATAAAAACATACCCTGACATAAAAACCTGTACAAAAATGTTCACAGCAGCACTGTTCACAATAGCCAAAAGGTAGAAACAACCGATGCCCATCAACTGATGAATGGATAAACATAATGTGGATTATTCAGCCATAAAAAGAAAGGGAATCCTGACACATGCTACAACATGGATGAATTTTGAAGACATTGTGGTAAGTGAAAGAAGCCAGACATAAAAGGCCACATGTTGTATGGTTCCCTTTGTATGAAATGTTCTGAGTAGGCAAATTCTAGAGAAAGCAGAACTGTGTTTGCCAGACTAGGGCGGAGGGAGAATGGGGAGTGACTAATTTTAAATGGGAGCTGGATTTCCTTTCAGGGTGATAAAAATGTTCTGGAACTAAATAATGGTGATGGTTGCACAACATTGTGAATGTGCTTAATGCCACTAAATTATACACTTTAAAATGGTAAATTTTATGTTTATTTTACCACATACAGATCCTTTTTCTCAAAAAAAAGGATGAGGTAGATACAGAAAGCACTAACATGAAAAGATCTCCAAGACATTCCGGGAAATGAAAAAGCAAGTTATAGGACTCCACTTACATTAAAACAAACTCCAAACTATATGTGCGTGTTCTTGTGTATGTGCTTATGAATGGATATACGTATATACACATACAATTTCATATTTTCAAGTACACTTGGAAAAAAACAGAGCAAGAAGGGACAAAACTTCCGTGTGGTATGGAGGGTATGGATACCACAAGTTAATGTGTTTCCAATTTTCCATGTCTGAAGATACAATTATGGAAAATATACTGAAACAGAGACATGTCAATTTTAACAACTCCAATACATTTAATGGCCCATAAAAAGTATGTGTCAAATAATGCTGTTAACTCTAGGGTTAAAGTCAATAACTAGGATCACCATTGTTTCTGTGGAGTCGAAGATCAGGAAGGGTTAAGTGTAAGTCAACCAATTTCAAGCTTCTAAAAGTCAAAAGTAACTAGAGTTTTGGCTTTCCTACCACACAAAAGTTACAATTCCATTTGACTGGACTAAAAGAGTAAACAAAAGTGGTATATCCATTTCAGGTTAGGAGTTTCTAAAGTCTAAGATAATCTATGAACTACTTCCCTCAATTTACTGAAGTTTATGTATTTAGTGAGTTAGAAAGTTACCTATTAAACAACCACTTTTTTTCTTTGTCAGATTTATATTATTTGGACATCTAATCAAGAGTAAATACACAATATACATAATTTGTTGATAATAATACAACAGCGAAAAATGCCTTCAAATTTACTTAGAAAGCATTCCATTCTGCTAGTGCATGCTGACCGACACATAAAAAGTGGTGATAATCAACTCTTCTGTCAAGAGTCTGATTAGGTGAAATTGGAACCCACCCGACATCACTGTGACTCTAGAGTCTAGGATTACGATCTGTTTGAAGAGAAGACAATCCAAGAGAAAAATGCAGCACTACAAAACTCAGCTCAGCCTTTTTTGGCCTCAAAGAGGTATTAACACTGGGCAGGATTTTGCCTGGATTAAAAACTACAATATAAAAAAATCTGTTTTGTGGTCTCTGGCACAGGCTAATCGTAGAAGTTCCATACCCTGAAAATTACTTTGAATGTCTTAACTTTATCCTTTTCACCCTTCTGTGAAAAAAGTGATTACAAAACAAAAGTTTTTCTCCAGGCGTGCCTTTTATATTCTCTAACATATCATGCTGACAACAATGTAAGCAGACAACCACTACTCCTTCAGGATTAAGGGTTCAGGTACTAAAGATTTCTTGATCAAGAAAAGAACTGCTTTTCTTCATTGTATTCAACTACCATAACAAAAGGAAAAAAGAAAAAAAAGAAAACACAAAACAGGAATCCTTGATTGTGGAAGTAATCCCCTGGAAATAGAATTCAATTACACCTACAGAGTAAAAAGTTACTTGGGCATACTAAATCTAAATAGACATTGTACACTTGTGGTTTGTGATCTCTTTCAGTATCCAACTCAAAAGTTGTAAAAAGTCTATGAGAGTCAAGGATGAGTCCTGGGATTTTAAATAAAATCATCTTATTAAAATTATTTAATTAACAGAATAGATATTAAGTGCAAAAGAAGTTACACTTTTCCTTAAAAAAAGTCCTAATAGACATCAGAGAAATACTCTGCACCTTTCAATCCAGTTGTATCTTCCACTCTTCTGAAAGATCTAATTAGAAAAATGACTCAGTAACATCAAAGAGGAGCAGAAATGTAAATATGCCAACTTCACTTTTTAAACAAGAGTCTGGAGGGTTAAATTGAGCTATTTCTTCCTTAGCTGATCCAAAGTGATAGTGCAGTTTCAACTGGATTTTTTGGTCTAAAACAGTTGTCTGTTGTCCATAGTCTTTGGGATGCAACTAAATTATTGCCTTTTATCTAAACTTCTCTCTGGCAACCTGAATATTAGTCTCCCCAAAACCAGGTTTGTCAGTCACTTAACTTCTCTTGGCCTAAATTTCTTCACCTGTGAAAGGAGGAGGTTGAATAAAATGAGTTTTTAAGTTTGAGAGAGTGAATCCATTTAAAGAAGAATATTACATAAGTAAATAACAGCACAGGTGGTACAGATATGGCAAAAGTCATGATGCTCGCTGTGCTTCCGTTTGACACCCGCCCCGGCCCCGACCCACCCGCAACCACCACCACCTGCACACGCACACTCATGAGCACAGTTCGAAATACACTAAACTAGATGTTCAAGGTTTTTTCTAGGTCAAAAATTCTTTAACTCTTTCTTTCAAAGGACATTTAAAATATTACATAAAGGGCTCTTCAGAATTGCTAAGCTCACTGATTTCATAAAGAGAAAGGATCACCCTGTTAGGATGTCAGGAACTAACTGATCATTGCCCCTCAGCGTTTGAAGTGAAAACCAAACGGGAGGAAGACTTCACAAAGTCAACAGTGGTTGACATGGGGTTAACCATACACGACACTCAATGGCAGAAGGGGGTGGTTTCCACATGCATTCACCTAGGACATGCATTCACCTAGGACGAGGAGGCTGAAGAATATGGTCATGCCGCTTGACTGCTCCTCCTGCTGAGCCTGCTCCCCAGTCTGCACCGGGAGGATGGGCTTCGCTGGGGTGGGGAGCACCAGTTTCGTAGTGACAACCAGAGTGGTGTGAAGGGTGACATTGAAACCTTCATGAGTTGTATTGGGGAACCTGTTGGAGGACATAAAAAGCAGCAGAATTAGATAAAGGAAAAATGGCCCTGAAATATCAACACACAACCAGAAAGAGAACCCGGCACAGAGCTTCATGGGATTCACACGTCTTGCAACCAACAGGCAAGTCTCAAAGAAAATTATTAGGAAAATTCCTGCCTGCCCCAGCACCAGGGTACCAGTGACCTCAGGTGCTCTGAACACAGCCACATAGAGGACAGAAACAAAGGGAAATCAGGGCCAGTGCAGAAACAAAATGCTGCCTGCTCTTTGGTGGCTTAATGCGGGATTTAAACAGAGGCAAACTGGAGTCTCATCACATTCCAAGGTCCAACACTATTTACTTAGCACCTTTATTTCTCCAGTTTACATTCTTTTACTTGGATTGTATCTGCAAGTTACAATGAATGAAGAAGCCAGATGAATTTGGCCAATTGTTGATCCGGTGGGAAAGCCCTACCCTACTTTACAAAATCCTTCTCTGATTTCAAAAGTCCCAAATGTAATCTCTTGTGTAGTAATACTCCCACTCCACCCTATGGCTGTGTTCCTCACAGCTATCTCCTCACATTGTGTTGGGATAGTAAATTGGTGCCATATTGACATAATAATCATTGTAATAGTGATAACAGTTAATGTTTTTTGAGTACCCCTTCATTCTGCAGACTAGGTAACATACAGTCTCTCATTTAATAGGCATAACAAGCCTGGGGTGGGCATTACTACTTTCACTTTTTAACCCTTGGACAGATTCCACAACGGCCAATATCTCAGTTAGCCAGCGGCAGAATAAAACTTTGAGACCAAACTTAAAATCACTGGGTCATATCACCTTTTTTGCTTTGTACTGCTGAGGCCCAGTTTAGTGTCTAGGACAGAGGAGATGCTCATTAAGTAAGCTGACTAAATGAAACAACGACCAGGTCAAAAGACATATATGAAAAGTTGTCAAATGAAGGAGTCAAATTTCAACCACGGGCTTAGTTCCTTGTTAATTTTTACATATTTATTCTACAAACATAGATAGGGCATCCGTAACACGCAACAGACTGCCTGGCAGGTATAAAGATGGACTAAGAGTGGTCCTATTCCAGAAGGACCTGGAGGACAGAGACACAGCTCCCTTTCATCTCATCTTGTACAGGTAGCCCCTTGCTCTCTACACTACAGCCATCCTGCCTTTCTCAACCTCAAAAAGGCACTAAGCTCTTTCCTGCTTCTGGCCTTTTTGCACTTGCTGTTTCCTCTCCTGTCCGTCCTTCTGGTCATTAAGGTTTCATATGGCACATCACTTTTTTCTAGAAGCCTCCCCCACCCTAACACCATTCTGTTTCCTTCTGAGCACTGAAATCATCCTGTTAATGCTTTTCTTTTCCCACTAGAATGGAAGCTCCCTGAGCGGCTCCTGGTCGGTCTCTTTCACTACTGTGTGACCAAGGCCTGAAATAGAGTAGATGGCCAACAGTCAATAAGTAAACGAAACTCAGTGAAGGAAACAGATACCGAAAATGATCGTTACAATGGAGGAGATGACTGGCTATGTACAGGGTAAGGGTGGGGGACTTCCTGGAGGAGGCGGCGGAACGCTCCGTAATCAGCAGATGACCGAAAACTGGGAAAGTGAAATCTGGGGTTGCGGTTTCCGCAAAACGGCTTTCGAGACCTACGCTGGGCGGCCGATCCCTAGCCTGAGGGTCCAACCTCGAGGAGGCTGCAGGGCCTAGGCCCGTCCCTCCCGCCCTCCTCGCAGGCGCCAGCATGGTCGGTCCTGGCCAACCGGCACAAGGAGCTCCGCCTTCTGGGGCCGGAGGGCGGTCTGAGGTGCTCGCAGTCACCCGATGGGCCCCAGCCCTGCCGCCTCCGCCGCCCGGGAAAAGCCCACTCACTCCTCTTCCGCCATCTTCTCCCCTTTCCTGCGGAGCCTGCGAGACCACCGAGTTCGGAGCCGCGGGGCTAGCAGGGCCCGCTTTTGCTTCCGGCTTCCGCTGGAGGCGCGGGCCGGCTGAAGAGCGGGAGAGGGGCGGGATCTCGGCTGCGCGAGGGCGGCACTTCTGTCCCTTCGTCTCTATGGCCCGAAGGTGGGAGGAGACGCGTGGGAGGACCCTCGGGAACTTTCAGGATGCGTGTCTGTCCTGCATCTCTTGACCTTCTGGCTCTACGAGGTTCTGGCTCTTCCTTTCTACAGGGTAGAGATAGTTTTGAGGAAACTCCTGTGAGGTCACAGTGACTCACCCTGAGAGCACTCATTCGGCCCAGTGTCCAGGACCATATTATGCTAAAATTGGGAAGGAAGCTTCCAGCTTAGGCTGTGCAGACGGACCTGAGGGGTATACTTCCCAGTCTCGGTTTTCCTCAGCTGTAAATAAGACTAGCCACCTGGGTTTTGAAGAATTGTGCAGTATTATATCTGTAAACATTTACTGAGTTCTGACTATATGCCTATGTTAAAATAGGTGACGATTATCTACGAGTGGTTTATTCAGTCATTTGTTCGTTGTGTCAGCGCATACTAATCAGTTGTCTGTCTGTGCTTAGCAGTGGTCTGTGGAGTTGGGGATACAGGAAGGAACAAGGTGAGGCTGGAGGGGTAGGAAGGACCCCATCAGGAGGGCTGGTACCCTATTGTGAGGCCTTTGGATTTGACCCCACCTCTGCTACTGCCCTTCCTGGTTGAAACCATCGTATCTCGACAGCTGTGATGGCTGCCAAAACTCTCTCCGTCTCTGCTATTGTTCTTGAAGCTTTTCCACACAGCGGCCCCAGTGATCCTTTGAAACTCCAGTTACTCCACTGCTCAAAACCTACCCTGGCTTCCAATCTTAATCAGAGGGTAAAAGTGCTTAGAGAACCTGTAGGACTCAACCCTGCCCTTTCTACCCTCGAGATCAATCCCTTCTCCTCCTTCTGCACATTTTCCACTGTGGTAACAGTGGCTTCTTCAGGGTGCGTGAGACACACTGGGAACACTTCCACCTCTGTTCTTGCTGAGACCTGATTCTAGAATATTTGGCTCCTAGGTTGCCCCTTGGCTCCCACCTTTCCCATTTTCCGACTTTTTGTGTACCTTCACCTTGTCCATTATGCCTTCCCTGACCACCCTGTCTAAAATCTGAGCCCTCTCCCCCTCTCAGTATTATTTTCTCCCTAACACTGTTGTTATGGAAATGACAGGCCAGCCAAGAAACAAGCACCACTTGGAGGGTTGAGTTATGCCGGCGGGCTCAGAGGGGCTTCTGCTCCGATGCTCTGAGCACCTCCAAGACGTGTA